TTGAGCTGTTGTTCAGCATCTTAGCTGTAGAGGGCAGTGTCACTGGCCCTCATATGTGGGATCCGAACCAGGGCCCTCTGGCATCCCAAGCCAGTTCTTCACCATCGCGCCACTCGGCCGGCCCCTTATAAACTTTTAATGAAAAAATAATTCCTGTTCTAATGAACTGTTGTAGAAACCAAATAAAGAACATTATCCAGCTTATTTTATGAGGTTATACAATACTGACACAGAAAACTGACAAAAGACAGTATTGAAGAGGAAAATTCACAAGTGTCACTAATAACAGGAAACACAACCCCAAATCCACCGCAGCACGTTTGTTAAATTGGGAAGTGCTGAAAGAATAACGTGAGTCGACCGAACAGGGCTTATTTTAGGAATGCGAGCATACCACCAACAGGAAATCTAGAATTAATTCAGTTATATTTATGGGTTAAAAATGAATATGACATTTCAATAGATGCCAAAAAACGTTCTTTGACAACACTTGACATTCTTTTTAAATAAAAATGCAAAGTAAATTAGAATAAAACAGCACTTTCTAAACATGGGAAGGAGTACCCCTAAGACACGAACAGCAAACATTCCTACTTTATGATGACACATGAAAGTCACTGCGTTCAAGAACAGACTGGGGGCTCAATCACATCTATTGTTTAATAAAATGCCATATATATATATTTAAAGATTTTATGGGGAATTTGGGGAGGGGAACAGCATTGGGGAATCGGAGAAGGGGAACAGACAAGAGGCTGTCCTTTGGTTCTTCAGTCTAGCTGTGGAGGATGTCGCTTCACTGGCCCATGTTGGTATTATGATCCTTGCGCTCTTCCCGGCTGAAGTAGATCGGTCGCCGGCCATTGGATGGCTGCTCACGGTGGCTCATGGTAGCTCACGGCAGTTCTCGCCGACTGCCAGGCACTCATGGTAGCTCCCGGCAGCCCACTGCAGCCTACGCCGTCACCAGCAACTCACGACAGCCCAGCTCCAGGTCAAGCTGTTGTTCACCATCTTAGCTATAGAGGGCACAGCGTCACTGGCCCTCATGTGGGAACCGAACCGATGGCCCTGCTGCTCAGAGCTTGCACTCCCAAGCCAACTCTTAACCAACGAGCCACTCGGCCGGCCCTAAAATGCCCAATCTTTATTTTGGAATTTGACAAAATGATATTCAGGCCATCTGGCAGAATGGACAGCCTGAACCTTATTTGAAAAAGAAGTATAACAAAGTGGGCAAGAGGTGAACTACCAGAGTGTAAAACATATTATGTGGTTCTAGAAATTAAGACTGTGATACCAGTTTAGGAATAAAGAGATTCAGGGACTAAGAGAGTCCAGAAATAAAAGTGTATTACGGATATTTCACACATGATAAACATGGAATTTCAAGTTAGTAGAAAAATAATATATCATATATGATATTGAGAAAACTGGTTTACTACTTGCAAAGAAATCTAGACTCACACTGCACACTGTGTCAAAACAAATTATTTAAATGTAAAAAACAAATTGTTTAAATGTAAAAAATACAGTTGATTTAAAAAATAAAGTAATTCTGGGCCGGCTGAGTGGCGCATTGGTTAAGAGTTGGCTTGAAACGCCAGCTCTGAGCAGCATGGCCCCAGTTCAGATCCCACATTAGGGCCAGTGATGCTGCATCCTCTATAGCTAAGATGGTGAAAAACAACCTGACCTGGAGCTGGGTTGCTGTGAGTCGCTGGAGACAGCATAGGCTGCAGTGGAGCTGCAGTGGGCTGCCATAAGCTACCGTGAGTGGCTGGCAGCCGGCGTGAGCTGCCAAGAGCCTCCGTGAGCGGCCATCCAGAGGCTGGTGACCCATCTGCCTCACCCAGAAAGAGCACAATGATAATACCAACATGGGCCAGTGAAGCGACATCTTCCACAACTAGACTGAAGAACAAAAGGACAGCAACTTGTTTGTTCCCCTTCCCTGATTCCCCAACGCTGTTCCCCTTCCCCAATTACATCTTTAAAAAAAAAAAATAAAAAAAAAATAAAATAATTCTTAAATGGGGAAAGCCCTTCTAAGCACAATACCTCAGAAGGTATTAAAAAAAGTCCATTAAATTTGATTGCAAAAAACACCACAAAAACATTCCAGAGAAAATCCACCCTGAGAAACCAGAAACAATAATTGTAACAAAAAATTCTGACAGTTAATATCCTGAAACTATAATAAAGGAGTGGAAAAAGATGGAAAATTCAGAAAAATAGGCAAAGGATATAAATAGGTAGTCACAAAAGCTCAACCACCAATGGCAAATAAAACATGAAAAAAATACTTGACTTCCCTAGTTCTCAAAGATGTAAACTTGAGAAGAGTTGTTTTACCAGGTTGAAAAAGACCAAGAACACCCATTGTAACACGACAGCACTCATGCAGAATGTGATTACTTTGACACAGCAATCCCCAAATTAATCCTAGGAAATGATTGGACGAGAGTACAAAGAGGTATGAGGATGTTTATAATATTGTTGTCGTTATATAGAAATGACCTAAGTTAATAAGTATTGGTTAAATAAATCATGGTACATTCATAAAATGAAATACTCTGCAGCCATTTAAAGTGGCTTATATCTCTAGTGACGTCAAGAGCTATGTGAGGGCTGGCTGGGTGGCACAGTTGGTTAAGAGCGTGAGCTCTGAACAACAGGGTCACTGGTTCGATTCCTACATGGGCCAGTGAGCTGCGCCCGAGCTGAGGTGCCACTGAGCTGCCAACGGGTGGCCGGATGGCTCAGCTGGTGAGAGTGCATGCTCTTAACAACAAGGTTGCCGATTTGACTCCCCCATGGGGTGGTGGGCTGTGTCCCCCACAATTAGATTGAAAGCAGTGACTGGACTTGGAGCTGAGCTGCGCCCTCCACAACTAAGACTGAAGGACAACAACTTGACTTGGAGCTGATGGGTCCTGGAAAAACACAATATTCCCCTTCCTTAATTCCCCAACACTGTTCCCTTCCCCAATTCCCCAATAAAATCTGAAAAAAAGAGCTATGTGCGACATACTGTTAAAAAAATTTACAAAATAGTGTGCTTGGAATAATCCTATTTTGGTTTAATAAAAGAAAAAGAAGACTCCAAACATCTCTCTTAAAATACACACACACGTGCTTATTCATGTGCTGGAAGGATATATACCAAAATATAACAGTGAATTAGTTGTTTCTGAGTAATGGGATTATATGTGCTGTTTAGTTCTTTTCAAAAATACACCTCTGTTTTTTTTGAAAAACTTTCAACAAGACTATCAGAAAAAAAGGGGGAGGAGAGGTTACACAAAAAAGCTGACCTGGGCATGGAAGGGTTGGGGAAGCTTTAGATTTATCGGGTCCAAGCATGTGGCGGGAAGAAGGCTGGGCAGTGACCCTGCTACAGTGACAGATGATGGCCTGAAGGGTGGAGGTGGTAATGGTCAGGGTGTCTGTCCCCCTCAGATATTTACAGTCCCCGCCACAGGGAGTTCAGGCCTTAGCTCTGGCCCCATGCAGAAGTAAAGCCCATCTTAAGCTCCCCACAGAGCACTCTGCACCTTACTACTCTCCTTTGCGCCCCATTTTTATCAACCTGACTTCCCAAATCTCTCGTGACTCTATCTCCCTACTCCACATCCAACCTTCTGGGACTTCTAGATTTGTATGCTCGGTGTTCTTGCTGTCTCTATTTTGGCTACTTCTAACTCATGACCTGGATGTTGCTAGACTGATCTTTCTCAAACCCCAGCCTGATCATTTAAGGAGCTGCTTAAAAGCCTCCAACCACTTCTCAAAGCTCAAGGGACTACGCTAAACCTTTCCCATGGCCTGATGGGCCCAACCACTGAGCCCAGCCTCCTCCCCCTCTCTCATAGAGCATCCTGTGTTCCAGCCACGGAGAACTGTTTTCCCGTTCCCAACACATCGTGCTTTCTGGGTGCCTCTGCCTCTGCCCAAGCTCACTCTTTACCCTTCTCCAGTTTGCCCCTCTACTCAGCACAGCACTTTGCACAGCGGTCCATCAGATGCCCTTTGTCCCTTTCTTAGGTTCAGCACTGTCTGCAGACCCTGTGTAAGATCCCTGGCCTGGAGAAGGCATTTCATCTGGAGCCCAAGTTTTACCTGAGAATCCAAGTCTTCTCCTTTTAAGCAGAGATTGGCATCAAGAACATTGAGTCCCACCAGCAGACCGACGATCACCATCCCCTCTTCCTCCATCATCAATGCCTCGGGCTCATAGAACTCACTAGAAGAGAGGGAAGGTCGGGAGCTGCTCAGGTATGCCCTCTCCACCACTCTCCCCACTGAGCCCTGCCTTTTCACCTCTCGGCTCATGGCCTGGCTGCAAGAAGCTCCTTGGTGGGCATTTCCTTCCACCTTTCATTTCCCTATCCTGCTACAAGTGCCGCTCTTCCTTTTTGGGACTCTCCTCTCCCTGTGGCTGAGAATGGGCTCCTCCTGCCTGTGGTTTTAGGTTAACTCCTAGACCCCAGTCCTTCTCATCTCTTGGCTCCTGCGTTCCTGACCATCACTCAGCCCCTCCTGTCCCCACTGCTCCTCCTTCTGCATTGCTGTGAGCTTCTATACTTAACCCTCATGTCAACAGAAGCGGAATCCCACAATGCCCCCACATCTAAGAATAAAAGTCTTCCCTCTTCCATGGGTCTCTTGGAGCAATACCAGCTGCTTTCCCTTCCTTGCCGCCCAGTCACCTCCGCAGTTTGCAGTGGGGCTCCATCCCCGTCTCTGACTGCTGGTCACCACTGACCTGCTCATTTACCACTATGTGTGTGGGATGCACACACATACTGTCTTAAGAATTAGTTCCTTAGGACAAAACTGTACCTCGAAGTTACTCAGTGTAACTGCTCAAAGTACAAAGGATAGGAAATATTTGAAATCGGAATTCCATGTAAAGATACATTCAATATGCCATGACTTGAAAACAATGAAAAATTTTGGGTGTCGGGCCCCATTGTAGGAGATATTTTTATCTCAATTAGATAAGAGAATTAACTCTAGAGAGATTCTTCACTTATAAATTCCCATATTCTAGAGAAAATTCCTTTTACAATGATTATTTTTGCTTATAGTTAAAAATATCAGATATGAACCAGTCATACATTTCATACATAACATAGCCAGTTAGTCTTTACTGATGTTAAGAGACATACAATTTTACAAACTGGCTATGGAGTCCTAAAATAGGTAATGCATTACAAAAAGAAGGGTTTTTATACTTTAAAATTGACCACTGCATCTAGTTCTAAAGTCATCCTGTTATCATCCAATCTAATAAATACAATTTGGTTGAAACTGAATGGAATGCTCGTACGCTGTCAGTTACATAATCTTAGGTATTTTGAAAAATGATCTTCAAAATGACTTTCAAAACGAAAAGTAATATAAATCTTCATTCATACCGACTTTCAGATATCTGTGCTCAAAAAATGAACTAGCACTATTTGAAAACTAAGCCACAGAACATTTACGATAAATGATAATTAGAATAAAAGCTCTGTATTATTATAGACTCCTGTTTTAACTATTTCAAACTGATCTACAGAACTATGTTCTAATCATTTACAAAGAAAAGGACAAGTAAAGACAGGTAATAAAATACCTTAAGAGATGTTTATTGTCTATAAGCACTTTCAGATAATCTGCCAGTTTCTTTTGCATAAGTGCAAGATAAAGCCAAGCTCTGCCTCTTCCCATAGCTGTCCTAGAATTCAAACAGAGAATCAAACTGTTGTGACATAACAATAACAACAACAATAACAAAAAAACAAAGAAAACAACCAATTTAGCCAAAGAGATACACATAGTCGGCTTGTGAATGCAGAGCACATCGTAAGAACAGCTGTTTTGGGGGTTGGGGGGGTCACAACGTCTGGGAAGGCCCAGGAATGCTCATTGCACATCTCTGGGTACTGTTTAAACTTTGTGTCATGGGCATGTTTTAGTTATTTATTTTTTTGACAAGAGGAAAAAAAATCTTTTTTTTTCCCCTAGTACAAACATTTTTATTGATATCATTAATACATATACTCGGGATTGCCAATAAACATTTTTTTTTTTTTTAGATTTTTATTGGGGAATTGGGGGGATGGGAACAGTGCTGGGGAATTGGGGAAAGGGGAACAGACAAGTTGCTGTCGTTTTGTTCTTCAATCTAGTTGT